CGGAAGACAAAAGTGATATCGAAAAAGACACATTCTACAATGATCTGCCACAATGTACGCTCGACGTCCCTCCACACAACGTCCTGATTCTCGCTGGTGATCTCAACGCAAGAATAGGAACCGACAGTCATACAACAAATCCACGAACAATTGGTAGATACACATACCATCAATTAACCGACGACAACGGCAACCGACTTATCAACTACTGTGAAACTTGCAACATGCGATCAACACAAACACGGTTTCCACACCCAAAGTCAAGATCATGGACCTGGCTACATCCAAATGGTAAATCCAAAGCTCAAATTGATCACATACTCATAAACGGGAAATGGTTAAACTCAATTCGAAACGTACGTGCGTATAACACAGTTGAATTGAACTCCGATCATCGCATTGTCAGCGCTAAATTATCAATCAGCCTTCGAGCGCCGAAACAAAACAAAAACAAAAGGATCAAATGTGACTGGAACAAACTCAAAACCAACTCCGTACTACAAGCCCAATTCAACATTGAAGTACAAAATCGATACGAAATCCTACAGAACATCAACACAGACAACGACATACAAACAAAATATGACAATTTCGTAACTAGTATACAAGATACAACAGAAAAACTCATTGGAAAAATAACTCGGAAAAAACGGAAAAACTGGGTTTCAACTACTACTATCGATCTTCTGGAAAAACGAAACAGCGCCAAATACAAATTCAAACAACAACCAAGCATAGAAAATAAAAACCATTGGCACATACTCAACAAACAACTCGACGAATCGTACAACAACGACAAAATCAACTTCTTAGAAGATAAACTAGAACAACTCAAACAAGCAATGGTATCAAATCATCTAAGAACAACATGGTCCCTGATCGACGAAATCAGTGGAAAACGCACAAGCTACAGCACATCAAAAATCAAACGAAAAGATAGTACAAAAATTAACTCAACCAATGAACTTATGCATGAATGGAAAACATATTTCGAAGAATTACTTAACGCTAAAACAAACATCAATCTAAACACTCAAGCAATACCACCAGCTCCTGAAGACCTACCAATCAACCAAGGTCCAATAACAATCAACGAAGTGGAACAAGCAATCAAACAATTAAAAGACGGAAAATCCCCTGGAATTGACTATTCAATAACACCTGAAGTACTGAAATATGATGGTAGATGGATTATGAATCAACTTTGTAACATATGCAATGAAATCTACAACAATCAACAAACACCAAAACAATTCAACACCAACATCATAATACCAATACCAAAAAAAGGCGACAAAACGCTTACAACGAACTACAGAGGCATTAGTCTTATGTCAGTAGCAGCTAAAACCTATAACCGAATCCTGTTAAACAGAATAAGAGAACCACTTGACTCGATTCTAAGGATAAACCAGGCAGGTTTCAGGAAAGGACGAAGCTGCATTGATCAGATTCATGTCATACGTAGAATTCTAGAAAGCGCAATCGATAAACAACTTCCAATCTACATAACCTTCGTAGACTTTAAAAAAGCCTTCGACTCAATCAATAGAAAAACAATGTTCAACATCTTAAGGCATTATGGGGTGCCTACTAAAATAGTATGTGCAATCGAAAATATATATCATAATACCAAAAGTGTAGTTCTCGTAGACGGCAACGTCTCTGAAGAATTCGACGTAACGACTGGTGTTCTCTAAGGAGACACCTTAGCACCATTCCTTTTCATAATAGTGATCGACTACGTAATGACAAATGCTCAATTAGATCACACAAACGAAAAGGGAGAACATGGCTTCGTAACAAACAAGAGACAATCCAGTCGACAATCACCAACATGTATACATGACCTTGACTTCGCCGACGACATAGCTCTCCTGGAAAATAGTTTTGGTAGAGCACAATCACAGCTCGTTCAAACAGCGAAGAGGGCTAGCGAAGTGGGTCTACAAATCAACATCAAGAAAACTCAAGCATTAACCAACCAAAACACAAACAACCAAACAATGCAAATTGATGGACAGAACATTGAATGGGTCGACAACTTCAAATACCTCGGTTCAATGATGTTATCTACCACCACAGACATCAAAGTACGAAAAAGCCAAGCGTGGAAAGCATTTTGGAAATTGAAAAACATATGGAAATCAACAACAATACCAATCAAACTCAAAATTAATATATTCAAAACTTCATGCCTTTCAATACTATTATATGGATGTGAAAGTTGGATAACTACAAACAAGCTCGAGAATACCTTAAACAGTTTCGCTACTAGCTGTTATAGGGTAATGCTCGGCATCAAACGAACCGGCAAGATTAAAAACAACACCATATACGAAACAAACAAAGAAGAACCTTTAACACAAACAATACAACGACGACAACTACGCTTCATTGGACACTGTCTTCGCCGTAATACAAACGAATTTATTAACATGTATGCTCTGTATACACCAAAATCTGGCCATGGAACACGAAAACGTGGTCGCCCACGTCTAAACTATCCTGATTACGTCGCAAGACTGATCAACAACGACACACCACCAACCATCGAAGAAATCCGGAAGACTGCTGTCAATAGGGAAGAATGGCGTAAGATTGTTGTCGCCTGCAAACCCAAGTTATTTGCAGTCGAATGAATGAATGATTAAGTTTTCATCTTTAAGTGTCTTCAAATAGAAAATCTGAATTGTAAATATCAATATGTTGGTGTGCATTATCATTAATTAAAGTTTATGTAATCGTTGACATTTGCAAATATTCTTTTGCTGCTTTGTGTTATCCTCAAAAAAAAACAATATTTATCTTGGTTAATATAATCCATAAAGAAAGTGATACAAAATCTAGCTGATATGAATATTGACTCAAGACAAAAATAGCATGAGAATGCATGAAATCACTAAAAATCAAAGACTCATCAACAAGTAATAATATGACAAACAGACAGCTATATACTTGTATAAGACAAAATACATACTATAAAATAACATAAAAAATAAGTTTTATATTAATGTCAGAGATAATCACATAACAGTGTATCTAAGAAGAGGGTGTGGGTGTAGATAGATAGAAGAACCGCACCCACACCCACCCACACCCACATCCACACCCACCCACACACCCACACCCACACCCACACCCACACCCTTTTATGGTTTTTTTCTTTGTTGTGGATTTCGTTTTTAGAAGTAAATATACCATTCGATAGAGCTCATTAAACTCTATCTGGCACACAACATTCCGTAGTTGGCACAGTTGATTGTGCGAATCGATCTAGAAAAAACTCGAATACTTCGCTAACTTCCCTTACATATCTAAAACAGATAGTGTATATATTTCGAAAAAAAAGAAAGAAAAATAACCAAGAGAATTTTCACGTACATGTACATATCTTTTCTTCCTTTCCTTTTTATCATCCTGGCGTTACATAGTGGCATGCTCATGCACAGAGAGAGATAAAACATTTTAAGCCCTATATTTTAAAGAGAATATACTCTTTCATGTTGATTAGCATAGTCAAAAACCTATATTCTGAATATTTTTTCGCTTTTCAGCGAAAAGTGTCTTACATGTAATTGCTCTCTTAAAAGACCTCTAGTGTTTCAAGAAAGCGAAGTCTAGAAATTGCTTAGATACCAATGTGAAGAGGGCATGTCAGGGTGCAAACCTAGCTAAAACAATTCCCTCGAAACAATTCGCTAATTTGCCCTTAATTTCGTCGACTAAAACTGGCCTGAAAATGTGCTTCGGGAGACCATTTTCACACATTGACATGTGCCCCCGACTGTCATCTATTGAATGCTAAAAAACGCAGATCGCTATGACCTTCCATTCAAAAGTTATAAGCCTTTCTTCCAGTTGCCTTCTATAAAAATTTCTGATAGTAGTACATGAATTTAAATAGCTAGGATTCACTTGGAAAAGTATATTATCCTTGAAACCAACAGTTGATTGATATATAAGAAAGCTAAGATGGTTGAGAGCAAAACGTTTTATGTATACTATAAGGCACTTAGGCAATGTTTTCTCGCAGATCCATTTCCTCATTTGCATGGATTTTCCTTTCTTTCTGTTGCTCCTTGAATCACATCAGCAATTAATGCAGCAGAAATTCTGTGTTGGTCTTCGACTGGTGCATTGCTGTCCCTATGTCTCAGCTCATAATCTATGCACTAAGACTAAAGAAGTTTCATTAGAACTATACGTTAAACACTATATTTAAAGAAGACTAAAAGGTACGAACACAAGAGATATTGGTCGTTCACTCTTATATAGTGATTTTTTTTATTTGGGATGAATTTCATAAAAGAAAGAAGGATCACCTTGGTCAGTTTTTTCGTACTAATCGTGTGAAACTATTAACAGAAAAGCATGAATCACTTCTCTTAAAATGGATATCATTTATTGAAAAGAACTAATGGTATACCAGAAAAGGACATGCCTTACTTTTATTTGGCTTTGAAATGCATACGTAATACTTCTTTGCTTCACAGCTTTTCTTTTTTTATGGGCTCCTTTTTTTCTCTTTTAACTCTTCCATTTCGCTTCATTCCTTTCTTCTTTCATTTTTTTTTTCTATTTCTTTAATTACTCTCTTGACCCCATACCAGTTGAGTAGATACTCGATATAAAGATATTGGTGGGGGCAGTAAAACTCACTGCATTTATGTTGTTGATTAGTGTTTAAATACCTTCAGTTTTCCTTGTATTATCATGTAAGCACTCCCGAGTGTTACATTCAAGAGGAAAATAAAATAAAAAATCTGTATTCATTGCATGCAATACCTAACATGAACAGTCGACGTTCGGCTAAAAGAAGGTCTACTATACAGATTCTGTCAATACATATCTATAACAAAGTAGAGAGCCTTGTTCTAGTTATGGATACAGCTCTTTAAGAAAATCTTTATTTTGGATAATTTCTATATACTCGCAGACCAAATATATGCAAAACACATTTTTCTTTGTTCGTTAGATTGAATAGTAATGCGAAATATTTAATTTGCTTCTTTATTGTTTTTTGAGGGCTTGACAAATTCTTTGTATGTACCAAAAAGAACATCAAAATTAATTAATGACGATCCATAATTACATTCGAATGTTGCATGATGCAAATAATGAAAAGATTCAGCACCAGCTGGATCGTCATGACCATCATGAGCACCAATGGGTGCAATATCCAAATGAAATTTAGTATAAAGAAAATGAAGTGGATGACACGAAAAAAGAAGAGGAATATAAGCAGATGTATAGTAAAAGAAGTGTTCAAGTGGATGCATAGATAGTCCAGACCATGGGCCAGGATTTCGGCTGCGATGATGAAGACTATGAACATGACGGTAAAGAAACGCACCAATATCGCCTTGAGGTAATCCATTTCGAACTGACCACCATGGATGCATAAAACGATGAATCTGTGAAGATTATCATCAATTTACAATTAAAAATAAATCATCTAACATACCCAATAAAAATGAAACTCTCTCCAAAATGAAATACCTAAAAGAATAAAAATTGAAAAAAAAGGGCGTGACCAAAAATCACTATAGTAAGGCAAGCGACCACTAGCCCACAACCACATAAAAACACATTGTACAAAAGCTGAGTGTAACCAACCAAGTGTCGTTAATGTTATTTCTCTTAATAAATGACTTTGATCTTTTTCTTCATATGGATTAATCGGATTATATTTTTTTTCATGTAAGGGTCCTTTAGGATATGGACTCATACGTGCATAAGTCATCCAATGCCAAAATGGATAAACAATAAATTCACAAGCTATATTAAAAAGGAAAATCTGTGATACCCATTTAATGTGCCATTCATTTGCTTCAGGGAATGTTATTGGAAATATCCAAAGCCAACATAGAACTGCGATACTAAACTCAAGCGCATGATCTAAATGATACCCAATAAGGTTATCAAAAAGTTTTTGTTGCCATTCAGACCACTGCCCATACGTTCTAAATACCAGCGGAGCAGAATAGTCTTTGCGACCTGTATGTAGACGATGAATTCCAATAATATTGCGAATACCAAATGTCATTTTGATAATATAGCTTTTTACACTGCGTGTATTGTTTTCAAAATATTTGCCAACTTATTAGTCGTACTATTTATATCCACTCAGATAGCAATAACAATAACAATAAGAGTCGCATGCAATGCTTTCTCCTTCTCCTCCCTTCTTTTTTTCTTGTATACTTACTTCTAACGGTTAATCACGGTTATCATATGACATTAAAAGTCAATATGTAAAAAGCGCAGATAAAAACAATAGAAATCGAAGTAGACAGCCTTGTACAGACACAATCAGGTCAGGACCCTCGTGAATTACAAAATTCAAAGATAATCACACGATAATCATTTCTCAATTAAAGCAGAAAAAAAATTCAGTGAAGTTCAGCAACCAGTGGTGGAGCCAAGAGGGTGCCAAGAGGGACTTGGTCCCTTTGAAAAAGGTGTGGGTGTGGGTGTGAGTATGAATAAAGGGAAGATTAACACCCACACGCACATCCACACCCACCCACACCCACCCACACCCACCCACACCCACACCCACCCACACCCACGCGTGCATTGAAAGGCAAAAATCAAGAAATTTTTGCCAGTAGAAACAAATACATTTCTCCACGCGAGAGACACTTATTGTTTTCATATATTACTGAGAAGCATCTCTGAGATTAACGAAATAAAACCTTCAAAGGGCATTAGATCACCTCAAATGGCTGCCAGAAATACATCTTCAGGTGTAGCAACAAAGCCTGCTGTATTAAAAAGGATTTTGTTTTTGGGCCCAACTGGATTCGGTAAGTTGAGTTTTAAAACATTCAGTGAAAATACTTAAAATTCTTTTCTTTATTGATCTAATACTGTAAGTCACTAGTAGACTAAGATTAGACTATTTCAATTCCGATTATCTGTTCTCGGTACCGGAATCGTAAAAAGGGTAAATAATAGGCTTTTCCTGTCTTAGTATAAGATGCAAAAATATGTCGAATAACGTTAACCTCCAAGATTCTGTGATTCTTGTGTTCTAAACGAACGCTGAGACAAAACAAAAAAACACTCTCTTTCATTCGGTCACCGAAAACTGGCTTATGCGCGTATAGTGCAGAACGCAAAATATGTTTTGGCGTTCTGTTGTCTTCAATCTGAAGACAGCAGGATCCAAGACGTTAAACTGGCAAAATTGGTAATTAACATCTTTCATAGGACAAGCATGTCTACACACTGTTGTTCTGTTACTAATTAGTAATAGCTACTTTTCATAGTTTGAGAAAAGAGCAAGGAATATGAGACCAAATTATTTTCTATTTTCGTTACTCTTCATATGAAAGTCAGTGTGTACTCAAAAATTCTATCCAAGAAACGCTGAGCCACAAAGCATACAATAAACATTTCTATGAAGTTTTCATATGGAAGTAGATTTATTTAAGTTATATTAATAAGAGCTAAACATTCATGTTTCCATCCAATTGGATCCAAACAAAAAAGAGAATCTCTTTTGAGCTTAGAAAAAATTTATGAGAAGCTTGCATTTTTACAAAAGTGACAAAACATACGTATCTTGCACAACCTTAAATATTTCCAAGAAACGCACCAAAACTTTGTCGACAGTTCGAATGTTGCATATTTCATTCCTTGAAATCTGCTGATATAAAACATATGACTAACAAACGGCATGCATACATTAGCTGATTATCTATGTACACGGTCATTCTAAGAAAAAACTCTGTCAAACAGACAACATCACTATTAGTGAGCTGATTTTAATTGCTCTTATAAGCACACTTTTTGTTATGTGCCTTGAAGAAGACATTAACGAGTAGCGGGTCATAATGAAATTCGAAAATAATTTATCTGAAAGCATTTGAAAAAGATTCGAGAAAAAAAAGTTGAACTGATCTACAACATCCATTGTTATACTTTCATGTTATTCTGGACAAAATGGAAAGGAGTACTCTTGAAACATGACCATGCCTAGATCAATTGTTCATTCTGTCGAAATCGTCAGAAAGGCGAGCGGTTCTCTTCTATTATGACGTTGTTCCGGCCTAGTCCTTTAGGTTCCAGCGACCGAGCTGGAGGCAGCTTCTGATCCAGAAGAGTTCCGACGGTTTCCAGAACACAAACTAGCAACAAAATGGTTGCCAGAATATAAGATCACTGCCAGGTTCGACCGAACAAGGGTGAATTAATTTATTGCAATGGCTAAAAAATCACCTACTACATGGACAAATCAATCATATATTTGGGTCTAAAAGGGTGTGGGTGTGGGTGTGGGTGTTTCATGCTCTTACCGGCACCTACTCACATCCACACCCACAGCCACACCGGCATACCCACACACCCACACCCACACACACGCACACTCACATCCATACCCACACCGGCTCGTTTTGAAGGACATATTATTTTCAAAATAGGACTCGATTCCGAATCGATTCATATGAACGAATTGGCGATAGCTCTGTGCTATGTAGATTCATATTATATTGTCACTGAAGTTTGATTGAACAAGTTTAATTTAAGCGTCAAACTGGATTCTTGTAATGTTTATCGTGACTTAAACCTGGTGTACTGGAACATCATCATGATTACAATCGGCAGTATTGATACTAGCCGATAAATATATCTTTCAAAATTTGTGGGTGTAGTCATACAGTACTTTATGGTACTACAAAGCTATATAAAAACGAAATAATTTCCATTTTGCTTCATTTCAAATACTTGCAGTCTATTGGAGATTGTATTTTGTCAACGCTTCTTGTTTTTATCCAATTCAGTCATCATTTTCCCATCATCAATTTTTTCCCAATCACTCAGTATTGCAGAACTCCTCGTAAACATTTAGTCATGTCTCTTTTCTATGCGTCATTTCTTTCTTCCTTCAATGAGTCACACATGTTGTTTGCTCTCTTTATCAATAGTGAGTTACTTTGTTGCTTACATGTTTTCATTATTGTACTTTGCTTTTTAAGCAGGTGAAATTTACTCAGACGAGCGCATAGTTTTTTTCTTAATATGCTTCGGATCAAAACTCACTCGAATTCTATCGGCGATCGTCGACAACTGCAAAAGTACGTGCCACTCAAGCAAGTGAGTGTCGACGCAACAATACGATCTTTCGCCGTTGATGTAACTATCAATCAAGTATTTCGCAATAATGAAAAAACACCGATTGAAGCAGTTTACTGTTTTCCTATTGAAGAACAAGCAGCTGTCTACGCTTTCATAGCATGCATTGATGATCGAGAAGTTATTGCTAAATTGGAAGAGAAAAAGAAGGCTCAGAAAGAATACAACACTGCTCTTCGGCAAGGCCATGGTGCCTATTTACTCGAACAAGATGACAAGTCGCAAGACAGCTTTATTATCAATGTGGGTGCCCTACCCCCGGAAAAAGAGTGTCATATTTCAATGGGATATTATTAAGCGGTCAGTAAAATAAATGAAATGGTCAGTAAGATAAATGGTCAGTAAAAAATGTATAAATGATCAGTAAAAAGATTAAATGGTCAGTACTTAGATTATCACTCATATAAAAAAAAAGATTGGAAAAAATCTGATTTTAATCGATTTTTTGTGATTAAAAATCGATTAAAATGGGACAGTTTTAACCAGGTTTTTAATCAAACTAGTGATTAAAATAAATTAAATTTATAAATATCCATTTTAACCGATTAAAATTTTTTCATTGACTATTTTACTCAATTTTAGTCAGATTATTCGATTTTTAATCTATTAAAATCGATTAAAATTTTTAAATCGATTTTAATCAATTCTAATAGTTTTTCTTTTTAAATGAATAAGTACCAATTGATATCGAGTCTTGAAGCATGGAATTTATGTCAAAGGTCGATCTAGCATCATATCTACTAATTTTCCGAGGCAAGGAGTCCGAAAAAGCGATCGAACATCTGAGTTTTCAACATAAAGTTTGAGAAAACGCATTTTACCGTCGCCGCCATTAAAATTAATATTTATAAATTTAATTTATTTTAATCACTGGTTTGATTTAAAAAATCGATTAAAATTAGATTTTTTCCAATCTTTTTTTATATGAGTGATAGTCTAAGTACTGACCATTCAATCTTTTTACTGATCATTTATATACTTTTTACTGACCATTTATCTTACTGACCATTTCATCTATTTTACTGATCATTTAATTTATTTTACTGACCGCTTAAATAGTAGCCTATTTCAATTTCTTACGTCTCTGAACTTGATCTTATACAACATGGTAACAAGGTTCGCTTTGTTGTTCCAACTGCGATTGCTCCACGCTACAATCCTGATCAAGGCGGTATTAGCCCTCCTGTTGGGACCACGTCAAAATATGTGCAATCAAGTCCGTATACTATCGAATTTCACTGTCGAGTAGATAAAATCGGAGTTTCACGAATTAGTTCGCCATCTCATCCAATTCAAGTTGATTTCAGTCAACAAGATATGTATGCTGTCGAATTTAGCCAACAAAATACTCATTTGGATCGAGATATTCTTCTAGACATCAACTTGACTGAAAATCGATCGAATACAATTGTCGCTGTTGAGCCTGGGGCCGTTATGGCTTCGTTTACTCCAAACGACGAGGACTTTCGTCGTACGATGAACGATGGAGTAATAACCGATGAATTCATTTTTATTGTTGATTGCAGTGGATCAATGGATCACGAGAATAAGATTGGATTGGCCCGTCAAGCGATGATTCTTTTCCTCAAAAGTCTTCTAGTGCATTGCCATTTTAACATTATCCAATTTGGAAGCAATCATGAAAAACTGTTTAATGAAACCACAGTTGTATACAATGAAGAAAATGCACGAAAAGCCGAACAACTAATTAAAAAAATGAAAGCAAACATGGGCGGTACCGAATTGGTAAGTTAGATTACATGCTTTGTTTTCGATATGTAATTTATCATACGTTGCGACTGTAGTTAAAACCACTTCAATGGCTACAAGATCATCCACCTGAACAAGGTCAAGCTCGACAAATCTTTCTTCTAACTGACGGTGAAATTGCTAATGTTAGTCAAGTTATTGATCTCTGTCGGTCAATGTCGACTTCCACTAGAATTTTTTCTTTCGGTTTGGGTGGTTCACCAAGTCGTTCGCTTGTCAAAGGTCTCGCGCGTGCAACCAACGGTCGGTTTGTTTTTATTCCGCCCAAGAGCAGCGTCGATGTTTATGTCGGTGAGCAATTACAAAAGGCTTTGCAATCCTGCATAACCAATATTCAAGTCAAATGGAACTTGGGCACATCGGTAATGAGTGCTCCAACCAAAATACCACCCGTCTATGCCAATGATCGTCTCATCATCTATGCATTGATGGATGACTCATCCGTGACATTCGATCACAATGCCAATGTCGAATTGTATACAGATCAATACCAACTGAGCGAAACCAGAATTGATCACATACCAAATGTAACCAGCGCAGGTACTATTGCTCGACTGGCAGCCAAAGCCCTCATTCTCGAATTGCAACATGCCAAAATTCCAAGAGAAAACATCGCTGATTCGGTGCAGGCTCGGTTTGAGAATCTTCAATCATCGACAACAACCAACGATGAGAAAGAAACACTAAAAAAACGAATTATCGAACTATCGCTTAAACATCAAATCCTCAGTCCATACACGGCGTTTGTCGGAATAGAAAAAAGGACCAATACAAGCAATGCCGCAATGACCTTGCGTGAAGTACCCAGCCAAATTTCCGCCGATGATCAACATTTGCATATAGGACATTCAGCAAATTATGCTCTGGCTTCGAATATAATAGAAAAGTCAAGTATGGGGACTCACTTCGTGTCAACCGAAACTTTTTCGTCACCAGTTGCGTGTATGGCGCAATGCTCAACGATGGATGATTCAGATAGTAGATCAGAATCATCATCATCATCATCGAATGACAGCGATATATTCTATGGTGAAAATAACTCAATATCCATGCCCATGGCATATTCTGCAAGGTCGTTTAATGCAGCCAAAGGATCAAATATCTCAATGTCATCAGATGACGATGCATCCGACTGTGCCCAAAGTTCACCGATTAATTTTCTCAACTGCTCTGTAAAATCAGCTTCTGCGGGTCGTCGATTAAGTAGCTCATCGTCATCGGATAGTGATGATGATTTGTTAACCAAACATTTAGCAGATCACCAGAGCATGGCATACTCCAAACGTTCGCCTCATGCGATCAATCGTTCAAGTAATTCATCGTTGTCTGATAGAGATATGATCTTCGATCAATGTTTTTCAACAGTTCGGAAGGAGCATAGTGTACTCTCATCTTTTCAGCATGGACAAGATGATGATGATACAACTGAGGAGAAGGAAGAGACGTGGCCGACAAATGATCAAGATATTGTTCGCTATTTAATAAATAAACAAAAGTTTGATGGTGTTTGGGATTTGGATGGAAACATTATTGAAAAATTGACGGGCAAGCCTCTGACAAGTTTCTCATCATTAAATAGAAATGTTCAAATTCTTATATCGTCTATTGTTCTTGTTTCATTGGAAACGCGTTTTGCTTCACACTCCACTATATGGTATTGTGTAGTGCAAAAAGCACGCCAACGCCTACTTGATTTGCTTAACCACGATAGAAACCAACTCGATTCTTTATTGGAAAATATCCGCCAACAAATTTGAATGCCGATTCCCTTGGTTATAGGTGAACAATATCATGACTATCGAGCGGCAACAATAATGTGCAGATGCACATTAGAAAATTAAATTTTCTTATTACGATGTTTTTTCCTTAATTGATTCCATTTGAATTAATTGTTTTTAACAAAACTAGACATGATTTTGACAAGATTAAGAGTAAATGAATAATTTATCTTCAATAATTGAACGTTTGCTTATCTAAAGAAGTATACATTGTCCTGTTCTTTCCTCTCTTTTTTTCTTTAGAATTTAAGCGCTATCTCTTACAGTAGAAATTAAATATTAAATATCTGTATATATTGACTAAAAACCTGTGACAATTTAAGTCAAAATTTTGTTGTATGTTTACAAGATTTAAAAAAATCGTCTTAGCTTTGGAAAGCCATCGTGATAACACCTTCTGCTACTGCGTATACTAGAGGATAATGTTCTCCAATGTTCATTCAAAAGCGTTGCCAAATCGACTGTGCGTGAAATAATAAGGAATAATAAAATTGGTAGCAGTAAATGGTGCTTTAGTGTCCGAGTGAAAGGATGAGAGTCGATTTGCTAACAAAATCAGCCCTATGTGCAAATCAGAGGTGTGGGTGCCCTTACTTGAACGACACCGGACACCTACACTCACCACACCCACATTAACAGTACCAGAATAATTTTTTCCTTCATTTAGAAACACCACAATGACAAAAAAAATATTCAACCATCAATAAATAATAATTGTATAAAAAATCAGAAAAATCAAATGTTCTTTTATCGATTTTGTTCTTTAGAAGCAAAGATTATTTTTTCCGACGATAACTAACAATAAAAAGTGCTCAACTAGAATGAACTTGATATCTAGATCGTTTAAATGAATATTCAGCATTTCATATAACTGCATTGACTATTCTTCATGAAATTATTGATATTCGTTCATTTCCATTGATTTATTTATGTAACAACAAGGGACTATGTATTTCATTGTTTGAGACTATCTTAGAAATTTTTATGTCAATGTTATTTCATAATGAGAACTGAGTAAATAATTTTTGCTGTTATATGTAAAAGAATCGATTATAGTCAAAAGTTTAATTAATTTTATTAGCAAGTTTGTTTTAACAAAAAAAAAAGTATTTTTCATTTAAAGCTATTAAAAACGTTTATATCCTCTTTGACTTTAATTAATTGAATAATAGTTGTTTCAAGTGATTATCAGTAAATCTTATTTATTAAGTATAACAAAATATAAACATAACAACAAGACTTGGACAGATAAACAAAAAACACAAGTTTTGAGTAGAAACAAAAATTATCTTTTTTTCTTCAGTATTGAGCCATCTGTTTAGAATAAGCCATTTCTAAGCGAAAAATTAAACAAAAATTAGAAAAATATCTAAACATAACTTGATAAAATTCTAGTTTCAATCAACTGATTATTTATAAATCAAATATTAAACATACTTATCAAACATTTTATCCTCATTAATTGCATCAAGACGATTAGCCTAATGAGAAAGTTTTTTCCGTTTAACTATACGATCATGTTATTATTAATTACGTTAGCATCTATGTGTTAAACGTGTTCATCCCTTATATATGTATATCTCGTTTAACATCATCAATTATATTTTCTGATACGACATTAATTATACTTGATGTAATTGAATCATCATCGTATACAAAACGTGCATTAAATTTTATATTACATACAATAAATAGACAAGATTTTCGAAGAGAATTTCGAAAATTAATATCATGTTCAAAACGAACAATATCGAGTACATAACTATATCAATGAATATTTATAATTCTTCTCGATAATCAACTGCGATTAATGTTCATTGACATGAATTGAAGAGAAAGCAATAATCTATAGAGGAAACAATCAATGCTGGAAAGAGTAATCTTGCTTGTGAACATGGAAAAATCTCATTATAATAATTTTGAATACGAAAATAAAAGTTGTTGTGTACATATTGAATACATATATATTTATTGACTTAGTGTCCTACTTCTTTAAAATTTTATTTTTAGATTTGAGGAAAAGGATATTCTATTATCTTTCTATTTAAAAAGCTAAAAAATGGATAAATTAGGCTTGTCAACAAAAATTATGTTTTTTTTTATTAATGTCTGTCAATATCCATTACTGCACCTTGAATTTTCTACGAAAATACTTCTCATAATATTCACTACAAACGTGTATGAATTAATAGTTGAACATTCTCAATTGAAGATTCTGACATTATTTTGTCGCTATTCATCCTTTTAGCGATGTATCACTATGCTTGTCAAATGAATTCCTTCCCCTGGCTATGTGAAGATCAATCAAGTTTAAATATATTATGAAAAATTTTCTTTCCTCTTAATATACTACTTGAAATCGACAATCATAATCAAACATAGTGAAAGGACATTTTTTATTCCATAATGTGTATATAAGAATCAACATTTTGTTTTTGTATTTTCGCTACCACTCTAGATCTTTGTCATTTTATTTGTTTGAATAATTGTCTTCATTTGAAATAACTCTGTTTGACTTAATGAAATTAATCAAAATTATTTTTACAGATAATCAACATTCATATCAAAACTTTTATTTGTTACAGATTTGTATAATAATAGTAACACTTCATCATGTCTCTTTCTTTTGTTCATTCTATTGAACAAGAAATACAGTTATTATTGAATGATCTAAAAACGTGTAATATAGGGTCAACTAATATGCCGAAAATGTTTAGTAAATAAAAAAGATGTTTATTATGACAACATTGTTATAAAACAAAAACTGAGCAAAATGATATTCATGTTTGTTGTTGACATATTCAAGTGCAATCAGTGCGGGTATGGGTATAGCTGTTAACTTGTACCAATGAATACTCACGCTCACACCCACACCCACACCCTTGGTGATCATATTTTTATTCAAAACAATAGCTCTTAGAAAAGAGTATATTGATTATGAAATTTTTCTCAAATATTTTCTTTACTGTCATAGTTATAATCATAGACGGCGAAACGTATAGGCTAGATGAGGCTTGAGTCTCACCTGAATTTGATACCTGTAGGCTTAGCCTCACCTAAAGTATGAATTCGATATCTATTCGCATGAAGGTTTAGACTTGTTCTATCAGACGAATATTATATCAGTGAGAAGATCCCGAACTTGTAATATGTTGCTTTATCTGTTGTGATAAAGAAAACTAAAAATTCGGAGAGTAGTAATATCACTTACTGTGCGCTTATGGCTTTTAGTAATAGCTTTTATCTTATTTACATAAAGTGGTATTTGTGCTAGACCAATCATTGGATTATGCATGAGCGGCGGAACGTGTAGGCTTAAAAAGCTTGAGTCTCACCTGACTTCGACACTATTAAACTGAGCCTAATCTGAATCACGACTCTAAAGTTTGTTCACACTCGACTCTAGCATCGTTTCGCTAAGTAAAACTTATTTTAATGCTGAAATTAAAACTTTTTACATGCTTATGTATGAATTGAGACAAGGAAAACTGAAAAATTAAGGTAGCAATAAAGTCTGCTATCTTTGTCGCCATGTTTCTTAGTGGCATCGTTTATTTATTCATACAGAGTGGTCTGTACAATAGATCAACCGTGAAATCGTTTACTCAAATGATAAAATATTTGTATTCAATCCAGACAGACAAAACTTTCAGAAAATGCGTGTTGAGGAAAGTAGTAGTGAAACTTTATAGAAAGGGTAAATTTTAAGTGTAATCGTAAGAAATTTTTCACAGCCACTTCTCTCAGCACTTGAATAGACGCCCTAAAAGTCGACTTTTTAAGCGTTTACATCCATATTTCGGATTTTTTACTTTGGGATCAGAGAAAATGCGGTAGAAAAAAAGAGTTGTTTGTGGAAGAATCGATTGTTTTTACGACTTCTATTTTTGGCTACTTTTCACTGGCCATTGAAAACCAGGATTGACGTCCGGAAACATCCAATTTTTTCGGGTGTTTATATGAATTTTTGGAGTTGTTTGTCTTCTCTTTCATAATATTATATCATTCACTTCATTTGATTAAGTGCAAATTCAACTTCCATAATTCACATTGTGGCAACAATATTAACTAAATACAATCTAAAAAATTCGATTGCCACATTTATCTGAATTCTTGACTATTGTGTTTACTAATTTTATTCGACATCATGAATCTGCTGCGATGATGCAAGATTATGATTCCACTCTTCCTGAGCAATATACCATCCCATGTTTATATGAATGCTGATCGTACACAGAAAGTGCTTTCTTTCAAGTATAGTATTATTGATGTCAATATTTTAGATTATAATCAGTCAAGTTAGTCAAAACGATCCGATGGATCAATTTTTCAATATTTTAGAAAACAGTATAAGGTCAAACACTATCTCTTTCAAAGGAAGAAATTGCTTTAGTGGATTCATATAATCTTTCAACGAGTTCTCAACATGAAAACACAGGAAAGTCTCCTTTAAGTCAAGCTTCTCTTTGTGCCGATATATCAAGTTTATCCGATCTTGATATTATTTTCGAAAAAATTTTGTAAAGCCAAAAATTAGCTAAGATCTCTTGATTGTTCTGATGAATTATCAGATACGGATATTTGAATCTTGCATTTGCAATCAACAAATTTATCTAGCTCAGTATCTTGTATGAGGACAACAAAACTAAATAGTCTGAAATGATTTAACACCTGAACTTCGCTCAGTTATTGTCAAAGTAATATGTAACAGGTTTGCTCAGGATAACAAACAAACTTTCATTGAGTCTTACCTGATTTTGAAACGTCCCGCCGCCCCTGGTTATAATAATCACTTACACACAAGACTCATGCCTCATGACAGTCTAGCAGCATAACTTCTTTAAAAGCAACTTAAATAAAAAGACAACTGAAAAAAAAAACACAAAATCAATAAAATCTTTTTCATAAAAACCGAATGATGTATGTAAATGACAAATAATTATTATTATCCATTCTTCATAATTATGTATGTATAATAGTTATTTCATAGATTAAAAATTATATTTGTGTATTTGTAAGGCTTGCCTTTCTAATTGCTGTTTCCTTTCAATTCAGTCTATTATATTTCCGTTCTCTTCATTTAATTTCATGGTTACGATTAATTTTCTTCATTTGACATATAAGTATTACTTATGTGTTGGCAATTTTATTGTAAAATAGATGAGGCTTATTTTCAAATATTGATTATGAAAAACATCGATACGAAATATTTACTAATTCTGTCAATGAATACACTGTGTATATAAAGATAATGTGAAATGTTTAAACTAACAACTCAATATTTTTTTCTAATATTTATAATTCTGAATTCAATAGAAGATTAAGAATTAATCCAAATAGACATATTTTATTCATGTATATCTGTAAGGTAGGACCGAAAACTAGATATTGTTAATAATATTTTTTTTATAGATTGGTTTTTCTTGTGACTTGTTCTGGAACATTGGTGATCATTAATATACTGACATTTTTGATTTGTGATTCAGAGTGTATTCCCTAATTGACTCTTTATTTGCATCAAAAAAAGAATAAGCTAGAAAATAGAAATCTTATTAGTTTAAATGAGTTCACACGGTCATGTTCTTCAGGCTCCTTTTTTCATTTTCAAACTGAGAAGAGAAACGCTGTACTGTTAAAAAAAACGAACTGATATATACTATTGTTGAGATCAAAGGTATGGCATACTACCTGTATACTTTTGTCTTAAATTTAATGCAGTCGAAAAATTCGTTGTAGTTATTTATCTCGCTGGTGAATCACTGTCACGATTCTTTAAGTATTTTTCTAAGAAGAACTGACGGGAGATACTATAAAACTACACTCAGATAGTATCGATTTGAACTATAATGTCGACAAAATCATTTTGTTTAATAGAAATATCTGGTGACTCAAAATTTATTGAATTCACAATAGTTTTACTTTTTCTGTTCGTCAATATAGAGATGTGCCGAGTTACCCTAGCCTATACAAAGTCGGGTTAGGACAGTCTTTCTTAATCAGAGTACAGAACTTAGAGAACTTGAAAAACTTTTTCTTTTTAATAATTTTCTTCAAAAATATTGATTCGTTTTGTGAAAAATTTGTCTTTCAACAAGTCATATGAACATGATTCAAATATTGCTCATCTACACTGTATTTTTATTATTTTGGACTTCACTAATTAGTAATTATAATCGAGCTCTTGAGTTTTAGAAAAAAAAGACTTATGTTTAGTTCAACTGTCAAATATCTTGATTGAAACGAGATTTCTTTCAAAAGATGACCGATATTGGTCTTCCTTTAATTTTGATTTTCTAAGCAATGTTTCACGACTTATTCTTTTAGCTTTAGCTTGCATAATAAAATAGCTAATAAATAGATTTCTGATATTGCGATTTTTTAAAGAGTGAAGGTTTTGAAGAAACGACAAAGTGAAAATAACTAGAGTATGATTATTTCTAGGCCATTCACTATTAATTACCTTTGTTTTTGTTTTTCTCACGTTTATGTTTGATCAGTTTAGTTGCAGTATAGTCGAAAGAGTGATGATATTTTGTTGGAACTTTCGATAGTTGTTGTTATACTTTTTATTTGGACAGTTTACTATATATTATGTAACAACAACTTGGCCACCGTCAAACTCTTCGAATATTCGATTATTAGGGTCTTTTTCAAGATGTATCAAATACATCTGAAACTACAGAATGGTCTGTGCATTTACGCGCTATGTTCAAAGCAGCTGTATTACTTTCTCAACAATATAATATAACAATAGATGGACAATTCATAGAATGGCAATCAGTAGAAACTAATGGGAATGTAATCGATGTCCTTAGCAAAGCATGTCAAGCATTATCTATTTCCAATAGTATTGGTCCAGCATTATCAAAAGAAGCTCATTTAATAGCTGATTTTGTGTAAAACAATAGGTATACCTGTTATATCATATAGTGTAACTGATCCTGATTTATCTGATCGAAATGTTTATACGAATTTTTATCGTATAGCTCCTTCAGATAATTTAGCTGCACTAGCTATTATAAGATTATTTATTCGTTTCAATTGGACATCATTTGTACTTATTTATCAAAATGATGAATTTGGATCTAGAGGTGCTAAAATAATAAATGAAGTATTTAATAACAATAATTTAACAGTTGAATGCTTGATAATATTCGAGATTGTTACATTTCGTATTCGAGGCGATCTGAGAACCCATTTAATGAATAGCGCAACTCGAATTGTTATTTTATGGGTTCAAACAAATTATATAGCTTTAATTTTACGAGATGCTCTTGAATCTGATGCATTAAGTCCACTATTTACATGGATATTGAATTTAATTGTTTCATTAAATACTTTTGATAAAAAATATCATGCAAAATTAATTGGATTATTTGCAATTGAACCTGTTACAGAAAATACTGATAATGTAGGAATTAATACAACATTATTAAAACAAGCATATCATATTTGGCAACAATATGAATCAGAATCATTTCCTGGACAGACAAAAGTGAATTATTATGCATTATTTGCTATTTGATGCAACATGGTCATTAATTCAATCATTAGAAAAACTTTGATCAACAATTAAAAATAATTCTTCTTCTTCATGTTCGTCATTCAATGGATCTTCATTTTGTTTTCATCGTTGTTTCGTTCATTCTCATTTATTATGAAATGAAGTTACTACAACGGAATTTTTCGGTGTATCTGGTCTAATAAAATTTAGTTTTAATGTGACAGATCGAATAGATGGTTTCTATTATTATGTAAAAAATGTTCAAGCTTCTTCAAATGGTTTAAATCTTTTTATCGGTATTAGAATATTCTAATACTGACGACTGGAAAATGTTTAAGGAAAAAAATATTTTTGTTTGGTCAGGTAATTCATTAGTACCTCCGACTGATCGAGCCACAGTTAAAGGTGTAACTCTACAAATTGGCGTCATTGGATCAGTTCCATTCTTAATAATAACATACGCCATTGATGAATATAACAAAATTAACTGGTTATATACCTGATCTTATTAAACTATTACAAAATAAAGACGGATTTATTCCAGATATTCAAGTAGCATCATTGAATCGAATATATGATGGTTTAATTCAAGCAGCAGCAAATGATGATTATGATACTATGATTGGCGATGTAACAGTTAATGCTAAACAAAGAGAATTAGTTGATTTTTCGAATGCAATGCTTTAAACATTATAATGCGAAAAACATCTGGTGTCAATATTGATCTGTTGTCATTCGTAAGACCATTTTCACGTAATCTATGGTTATTAGTATTAGCTACTTGTATTCATGCTGGTGGTTTATTGCTTTGTCTCATTGAGAGAAAAGATAATGAAACATTACAAAATCGATCAATATTATCTCAAGTAGCAATGAGCATATGATATTCTTTTGGGCATATTGTTGAATATACTGTAGAGTGTCATGTTAGTACAGTTGCTGAACATTTATTAACTATGGGTTTATATATATTAAGTTTGATATGAGTAGTTACATACACTGCACATCTAACATCAGATTTAACGCTATTAAAATCAAAAAATATTATTTCGCAAATTAATGATATCAAAAGTGGAAAAATTTCATTTTATCGTATTGGTATTCGTTCAGGTTCAGAAAGTGAACATTATTGCTTACGAGAAATATCTGATGGTAATAAAAATTATTATCCATTAAAATCTCAACAAGAATTATATGATAGTTTACTTGATGGAAATATCGATGCGTCTTTTATGGATACTGGTATGGCTGAATATATTACGAATAATATTTATTGTAATTTAACTTTAATTGGACAAGATTTTGATAAAGGTGTTTTTGGAATAGTTACTCCAAACGAATGGTTATATGCTAAAGTTTTGATTGTTAATATTTTATTATTAAGAGAATCAGGTCAACTTGATATTTTAAGAGAAAAATGATTTCGAAAACAGAGTTGTCCTGATTTATCTTTAACACCAACTGCAACGAGTATTGATTCAATGGGTGGATTATTTGTAATTTTTGCAGTCATTACTTTTCTATCATTAATATTATCTACATGGTCAAACGACTTATTTTTAAGAACTATTCATTTACGTTCATGGGTCGAAAGTAATTCTTATTACAAAAGAAAGTCTCGATGGTAAAACACTCCATTGTAACATCAAAGTATACACAAAACTCTCTATTATCTTTGTCTACTATTGTATAATTCTGATTTGACAAATTTTTTAATTGAAGCTGTACATAAATTGTTCATTACATCTAACGACATAAATATATTAATTAAATTTTACATTATTGCAAAAGAAAGTTGACTTTCTGAAACATAAACCGTAATAATTCGGTGATTGTTATATGCATAATGGCCTTTTTTTTATACTGCGAACAAACAAGAAAAATGACAGTTAGTTCTAATACAAATATTCATAACTACACAAGTACTTTTCAGCATTTGTAGAATTTCTATTGTTGTAAGGGCTCTTCTTGCAACAACAATTTTTTATTTAGCTTTTGTATTCAGAAGATATTTAAATATAAAAATTTTTCCTTAACATCAAAAACTAACAGGATGTCTTACACTCGGTGGAAGTAGTATTTAACACTTGAAGCAAGTTAGATCGATATGTTATATCAAGCAACAACCTGATTGAGACTTCTTGAAATGAGATTTCAATATGAGCGACTGAATTGATGTATATTTTAATAAATGTCTTTACGAATTTATATCATATTTCTTGGTATTGTATTCAGAGTCGCTATTCACATACGCTCAAAATAATCCTATAAGTCCTTTTTTTCTCTTGGCCATTGATTTATTAGTCTTTTCCATAGTTTCAAAATAGTAAAAATCTGTTTCTGCAATATCTGTGGGATTAAAATGTGATACACAGCACAGCAGTTGTTGCTAATCATATATATCATAAAAATAGTCCTAATGAAACCCATCAGGTAACAACATATTTTGTATGCATAGGATCTCTACAATTTCAGAAATTTTTTTTACATATATTTACTAATATTGAATTTACTTTCTTTAGCACTTATATATTCCATTTTTTCTAATGATATGTACTAATATAGATATAATACGTACAACCAACGATACAAGCATTTATATGAACATCACGAAAACAAAAAAGAAATAATTGTCTTCGAAGACAATATCGAAAATTATATAACATATACTCGTTTACATAAATTGCAGGAAAAAAAACAATAACGCTATAAAGGAAATAATCAATCAACAATGACATATTCAACGACCATACAAATAAAACTTATTTTGTATATATTGAATACATATATGTTCCTTGGCTTAGTGTCCTACTTCTTTCCTATTTTATTTTTACATTTGATAATAAGGAAATTCTATTATCTTTCTATTAAAAGACTACAAAATAGATAAATTACGCTTGTAGACAAAAATGATATTTATTCGGATACGTCAAAGTTATTTAAAAACAACTAATGCCCTAGAATAAATAGGTCTCTCAGTATTTTATTAATATCTCTGTCAATAATCATTACTGCGCTTTGACGTTTTTACTAAAAAAACTTCTCATACAATTCGCTACAAACGTGTATAAAATGTTTCAATATAAAAATTAATAATTGACCATTCTTAACGGAAGACTATGGCGCATAAATAATGTATTTTATAACATTATTTTGCCGCTTTTCACCCTCTTTGCTATGTAGTACGAAGACTTAATAATTGTTTTCTTCTAGAAACTCCCAAATTTTATTATGTGATGAGATGGAAGCAGCAAAAAATTCAATCCTGCACTTCATGATTTTCCTCTTCCCTCGTTATGTGAACACCACTCAAGTTTAAATATATTATGAAAAATTTTCTTGCTCCTAAGTCAATGATTTAAATTATTTTTAAACATAATCAACATTCATATGAAACCTTTTATTAGTTACATATTTGGATAATAATATGACTTCATTATATATCTCTTTCTTTTTTTTCTGTTCATTTTATCGATTAATATAAGATTCTTTAATGATTTAAAAATATATTTATTATTCTAGTAATAGTAGAATTTGAAGTTGTGTCAGATGGGAAGGAAATACCGTTGTTATTGAATGATTTCAAACGTGTATAGTATAGGACAAAATGATGTTCATGTTTGTTGTTGACATATTCAAGTGTAATTGATGCTCTATTGAGCTTATAATGTCATGTTTACATAAACTATGTGCTAAAGACAGATAAATATCAATTAAATAATTAATTAACATTATAAATTAAAACAAATATGCTATTGATGTTTTATTGACTCTTGAACAAATAACTCAATCGATGTCATTTTGTTTACTTGAATAATAACAACATTCAAATAATATATAAAACAATGAATTTAATCAGTTGAAGATTTTTTCGAATCATAATCATGAATCTAGTATTAATTAAAATTACTCAACTAACAAGTCTAACATATCAACTCCTTGTGTTAAACAATTTTTTGATTTCAACGATCTTCATTTGATGAGTACTAGTGAGCAAAAGAAAAGTGTAGAATGATTTGATTTTCTGGGCCTTTGTGCCGTCGACATATCAAAATTTTACTGAGTTTTGCAACAAAAAACTATAGTATCTAGAGCTCGTCGGATGAACTGTAGTGATCTTCTTCACTTTGCACGAACAAATTCCTTCTAGACTTTGCTATTACATACTATTATTTATCAAATGAATTTTGTCTCGATCGAAAAGTAGATTGTCTCGCTAGTTGTTTCATCTTTTCTCCTTTAAAATATCAATTTTGACCTAGGCACATCTAGAGTGTCTGATAAAAGTCTTTGTATTAAAACTCTTATTTTTTATGTAAAGATAATTGTAATTATCTCAAAACTAAAAAAAAAGACAAAAAACAACTAAGTCTTTAGAATTTTGTGTTTCTTAAGACTCTATTTGTGAACCAATAGAAAGCCTTAGAAAAATTTTGAAAAAAATCCTTCTAGTTCAATCTCAACACGATGATTTAACGTTCCAACAAATGTTTTCCGACGTTTCATTCTTGAGATTACTGCGACACAGTACTATAAAGGTGTTTCATACCTTCATTTCTTTTTTTATGTCAAGCTAATGTTTGGAGACTTATAATATGAATTTAATTGATGTTATTATAATTGCTATTCATTCATAAATAAGAAATATATGTCGATCCCTTGCGTTTTCTATTGTCAAATTTTATTTCCTGAATTCTATGACAGACACAAATATATGCGTATCATATAAAAAACATGACTAGTCTCTTTATGTGCGTGATTTAGATTTAATCAGAAAGAGAACAATAAGATATATAAGCCTACAACGAAGATTTGCTTCTCTTTCTTAAATGTATTCATTATGTTGACGGAGAAAAGCATGTATGATACTTTCATATCTTTCTTATAGATAATTATCTTTTTCACATTCTTTTATTTTTGTTTTAAGATAATAATATTCTAATGGCTCATTGGTTTTGTTCCTATTTAATTTTCCTAATACTGCTTTTTAATAATATTAATATGATAATATTAATTGATCAAAATGATGTTTTAAAACGACATATTGGTTCAAAGTATGAACATGATTATGAAACACAACAAAGCACAGCAAATCATCCAACTTATATTAAAAATCAAAAATTTCCGTCAGCTGATTTTTTACGTTCTCGTTGGATTGAGTTGTATAATAAAATGCATAAAAATAATGGTACATAAAAAATTTTATTTTTAACTTTCCTCGTCATCCATGTGCTTATCTTTTGAACAAAATAAAAAAAAAGAAAACGAAATAAAATCAGTTCAATAGCATTTTATTTTTTTTTAATTATTTTCTCAATCCAATTGTATTCATCCTGTCTATTGGTGACTTGGTAATATAATTTTGTCCCAGTTGAGATATTTTATTTGCAAATGATTTCCAAATATTGAGAAGCTTCAAAAAGAAAAATTGTTATAACAGAAAAATTTCGTCTTCAATAAACATACATCTGATGATCCTTTACATTGACTATTACCAAGACTACTTAGAATATAAACAAATGCTTCTAAATTCGCATAAACTAATTGTGTTTCAATTTTTACACATTGCAGTGCATGTCGATTACGTTTTTCAATCATTTCAAGATTATTATCATTCTATAAAAAAAAAAATCATAATTTTGAAAATCTACAAATATCCAAGGTTTTAGGTCGCAATTCGTTTGTTTGTTTTCTTTTGCCAGAATCGTTCTTGATATCTGTTAGTCCTCATTTTTTTCCGATTTTTCAATTTATTTATTCACAGACATCTATCTAGATATATTTTTACTTTGGATGATGTATCAGTGATTGATGATGAACGTTTTTGTTGATTATTTGCTTTTTGAATAGCTTTTTGTTCACTTTGTAATGCATCTTCAAATCGTTTACACAAATCCTAACAAGAAATAAAATAAAATTTTAATTATAAAAACATTTCGTCTCACTTTATATCCTTGAAGTAATTCAATTAACATATCAAGATGATCACTAATAACTTCATCATCACGTTTATATTGTTCATTAATCCGTTCTGAAATAGCATTTATTTCAACGGGTAGATTACCAAGACCAATTTGAATGGTTGGCCAATAATCATTTGGACCTGTTGCCCATCGATCAATACTTGTTGAATCTGAACCAAGTGTTCTAAATGAAAATTAATCCATTGTTAATTTCAATATAAATATTAATATTTTAACTGTAAAGCTTTTTCAATATTTGTAAAATCATTGGCATTTTTAAATTTTTTTTCATTGATACTTTTTAAACATCCACGAATTTGATTGAATTGTTGATGAAGAGATGAAATATGTATTTGGCTTGTGCGAAACATTTGTATACCATCCGAATCTTCTCCATATTTCTAGGAAAATTTAAAAACTCGATTTTTTTTTAAAATTCTATGAAAGAACTTGGTTGATTAATTACTTCTATATTATCACTAGAATTCAATGATGATCGTGGTTCAGAACTGAATTCATCGAGAATATTTTTATATGTTGCTTTCATATTATCACCACATGACTAATGAATAATAGAAACAAAACATGAAAGTATTAATAAAAAATTATTTTCATGAAAAATACGCACTGTTCCTTGAAAAGTTAGAAAAAATTTTATAATATCTGTATCATAAATAGTGGGATGACGACATAAAATTTGAAGATATCGCTTTAATGATCGACGACGTTCTTCGATAAATTCTTTGTCAACTAAATATATAACAAAAAAAAAGAAATAAATATAGTTGAGTCACATTAATTATAAATTAGAGAAAAAAAGAAATAAGCGAACAGGAGCAATATTATTCATTTGAAAATCATGTAATTAAAAAACAAAGTAGCTCAAGCTAAACAAAATGAGACCATTAACAGTTTTCTTCGGTGGCAATGATGGTATTATTCGATATGGATATGTTAACATTAATAATTCATGTAATGCAAGAAAGTCATTATAACGACGTGAAACTTTGTTTTTTAGACGCTATTATATTTGACAAAACAAGAAAAAGATGATGACATATGTCAATAGCAAAAAGAACTAATATGCTTACCATACTGGTGATTTCATATTCAACATGTCGTATAATGATACCTGAAAGATATAGTTTTAAATTGAAAATAAGTTTTTCGTATGAGAGAAAATTGATTTTTGCCTTTTTTTTCAGGTGCTACATTCATATCAATAGTATCAAGTGAACAGAGGTCATTGTAACGAAAACAGAGAGTAGTTTTGTTTTGGTCACTTCGAAGTAAACGAACTAAACGATCTTCTAAATTGGTTATGTTGTCAAGATTTGGTGTCGGTAGTTCTAAAACAAGACAAGAAACTCGTTGTATACTTTTTATGCATCATGCACGAACTATGATACCGCGATTAACATAATTGTCCAATAATTTCACATCGATTGTTTTCCCCTGTTGAGCAAGTGCCATTAATGCTAAACACTTGTAAAAATCATTACGTGAACCTATTGCACTTGACTTAGTAACGCTACACCAAATCTTAATAAAATAACAAGTAAAGTGTTCTATCACTCCTGAAAATATTCTAGCGTCTTTTCAATAAACTTGCTTGATTTAAAACGGTTTTCGTCAATGTGTTCGACTCAAACAAAGGTACAAATATAGTAAATGTTAACTTTTCCAGTCCATGTAAATTAATCATCTCGAATAGATCACGATAGATTGTTGGGATAGAACCTGTATTATCCGAGAAAAAAAGATATTACCAATTTATTCATTTTTTAAATTACCTCCACTTAAATCCATCAGAATTTTGGTTAATAATTTCACTTGCCAACTTTATTTTGAGGTGAAAGACAACTAAAAATAACAAAATATTTATCTGAAACAGATAAAACTCAAAAACGTCAAAGCAAATGCTCCAACAGATGACACTGGTTTACAATTTTAATAATGAATCTTTGAAATGAATTTTAGATATTTCTATAAAGTATTTCTGGGTATTGAAAACATGATTGTAATTGAAAAATGATATTTTTATATATGATATATATCTGTCATGTCCATCAAACAAATTCCAATTGAATATATTATGAATATACCATTTTAATATGTTTTTTTCTGGATCAAAATGGAAAAGTCCATTTTAAAACTTATCTTTTTTTCTCAAAACATGGTTTTCACTCAGAGAAATTCAAAGAAACTGCACCCACCCGACTCAAGATACCACCAATAAATTTTTAGTTTTAAACGTCTAAATGAGAGTAAAGTTTTATCCAATCAGGTTTTTCACATCTAATATTTGAGTTGAGTAAAGCTAGATTTAGTGTCGTGAAATGGCATTATTTTTGTTTATTTTTAAAATCATTTATACCAAAATGATCATACAACATGAATGGTCAGACGAAAACCTCTCGAAACTTTAAATGGATTAGAAAGAAGCTGAAAATTCAGTCTAGTTTGCCGCATCAGGTTGCAATTTTTAGCCTGAACCGACCATCCTAAGTGGAGAATCTGTTGCGAGAGGAGCGACAAGTCCAATTTCGAATAATTTTCAAAAAGTTGTTTCTGCAAGATTCTAAAGCAATCGCTACTTAAAATATGAACGATAGAATAGAGAAACCTCTTTTGTATATTCAAACTCATATTTCGAATAAATGACGATGAAAATAAAACTGCAATCAAATAAAGTTTTTAAAATACATATATACAAAATAAATCTAGTTTTTGACAATGAATCATTTTTATGAGTGATCAGATAGACCTGATAGCACTGGCATTAAATTAATATTAGTCTGCACACAAATCTATATAGTTGAATTTTCCTTTTTTGTTCTTAAACAAAAAAGCAAGAAATGATTTTGTGATGTTCCTTCAAGTCTTTGATAGTTCTAAGTCATCCTTTTTTGTTTATCTCCATTGATTCATTCATTGGCAGCATACAAACAGAAGATTTCTCTTTCGTGTTCTCTTCAAAAAAGTCATAAAGTAAGAAAACTGATTTATATAGAAAAACTTGTGTATCTATGATAATTCAACAACAAAATGAGTATTATTTCAAATTTTCTTTTTATTTTTTAAAGTCATTCATGATTTATAGTTGATATTGATATACATATGAGATACGGAACAAAGACGAAAAAGAAAAATATAACTTGTCAAAGATAACATTGCATTAGGTTTTATTTTTTAAATATGCATATTTTTATTTTTTTTTCTTATAAAATGGCAGTCAAGTAGTACCCCTACTTGTAAGTCAGTGTCTCTATTATACATTTTACAATTACAACGATATGTTTTTTTTCATTGAAGATCAACCATGCATTTGAAATAGTTACGATGTTTTAAAGATGCAACACTTTAACTTGAGTTGGTTGAAGTGTTGGTGGGCTTGCCGACTTCAAATCAACAACATAGAACATCATCTTTAGCTTCCCTTTAACAGTTTTCCCCTTTTTGTGTGTATTATACAGTGAGTATCAAAATTGATCAATAAGCACAGGCAAGTTTTGTCGTGAGTTCATATGATGATAATTGTATGAGCTATAATAGTTCGATTTAATTCATATCGATTTAAAAAATGTGTTTTTTCGACTGTTACAAACTTGATCAACCATTTCTTTCTATGATTATCCTGAAAACTATATTGACTTAGAACTTTCTTTATCGCGTATAATTAGAAAGAAATGGTTGATCAGTTTTGTAACACTCGAAAATGTTTATTATTGGGTTTATTATTACAAACTGGAATATCCATGTAAACAGAAATGGGAACGAACAATAACTTCAGTACAACTTTAAAAATCTTGCTGCTACCGCGCCAAGCGAATGATAGTACTTTCAAAAAAAACCGATATTGTTTTTAAAAAAAAACAGAAAAGACAAGAAAATCTTGTTGCCCGTCTAGCTACGGATTACAAAGGTGTGGATGTAGTCTAAAAGAAGATTCATATCTACAGATTTTGTGAAATGAATCGAATTTCATGCAGTGTATATTGTTTGATAGCATTTCTAGAAAAAACTATCCGAAAGCGACTCGTAATAAGGAATAACTGATTGATTTCAATAACAAGATAACACACTACAATAGAAGTCATATGAATATAAGATTTATCTATCAATGTAGAAAGAAAAAAATCCATATTAATCAGTTCAAAACATCATTTATGCATTTTGCTTATACAAATAAACGGTTTATTTATCTACACTTATTAGAATATTTATCCATTACGTCAAACATATAAGTCAATAAAATATCAATAGCAATTATTTTATTAGATATTATTTAGTTTATTTGAAGTATATGAACTCATGTTTGATCAAAATAACGGGTGGTGTAAAAGTTCTTGGACAAATATCATTTCGTCTTACATTAGCTCGAATATATTTCGAAAAATCAACAACATTCATAAAGTATCAATGTTGAAAGCACTTTCTAGTTGAATATTAACAAATTTCATCTTTAAGTAACGAGTACGTCTTTGTATAGAAGCTGTATTATGCGAGAAAAAAGATCTTACTAATTTATTTATTTTATAAACTATCTCCGCTTAAACCCATCGCGATTTTTAAATCAAAACTTTGACTTGTCGACTTTCTTTTAAGATGAATGACAACTTAAAATACCAATATATTTATCTAAAAAAGATAAACTATTCTGATAGATGACGCTGGTTGACAATTTTTAAAAGCAAATGTTTTTGAAATAAATTTTAAATATTTTAAGAAAATATTTCTATCTAATGAAAAGATTATTCTAATTCAAAAATGTTTTTTTAATGATATAAATTATCATAAAAATGAAGTCCTGATAGCTACAGCAACGAACTCAATCGAACGATGGCTGAATTCTTTAAAGCTTTGTTTACTTTTTCTTTTTTATCTTGTGGTTTTCAAATTAAAACGATTACAAATCAATTTCATAATATGTAATGGCATCTGATAGTGAACTTGATCGAAATGCTATTTTTGAAAAGTAATATTATTTAATGTCTTAGATAATGATTTACTTTAGTTGATTGTATTTATTTAATTAGATTTGCCTCGATAAAACGAATGCATGATGAAGTTGGTAAAAAACAAACGGAAGATTATCAAAAACGTTTACAAAAATTAAAAGAAGAAGAAGTGAGTTTTGTAGAACAAACTTTATTTTTTTAAATAAAAAAGTAAAATCTCATATATTTTTACTTTAACAAATCTATCTCGAGAAGCATATTTAAATAATAATCGATTTATTGAAAATAAAAAAAATTAAATATATATCTTCTATTTAGTCTAATTATATGTCTAAATTACTATCTCAACAAATTTCAACTCGATCTCAACAAGATGAATCTAATCGAGTACAAAATTCGGCACGGTAAATTACAATTTAATTCTATATAATCACATATATATTCTTTAATAAACAGAACTCGTACTATTATTATTAATATTATAATGAAAAATAAAAATCCTATTAAATATCTATAAACATTATTTTCACAAGAATATTTTATTTCATTCATAAGAAAATATTTCAAATTTATTCGAAAATCTAAATTTAAATCTATTCCATAATAGATTATAATTCATAAGAAAAATTTTTATTTTTTTAGTCGTGATTTATTTTTAACATCAAAAAATAGTATTAATCCATCTGATCCACCATTATCACAACAACATTATTCATCATATAAAGTAAATAAATATAATCAATAATAGTAATATATATTATTAATTTTAATTTAGTTAACAAATCGATCATCATCTCATCATCAAGATTCATATGATAATGGAGATTATGAATGGAATATTGATGATGATTTTCAACCATTAAATATTACTGATAATGAAATACTTGATGAACGAATAACAAATCGTATAACAAATGATGATGAACCTGAAGATTCATATATAACTGCATATAATCAATTACTTCAAACTCATCATCATCAACATCAACAACAACAACAAATAATAACTCAACAAGAACAAGAAAATATGTTATCAACTATATTTGAAGCATCTTGTGAAGATGCGACACCTATGACATCTCTAATTGATGTACATCAACAACGTATACAAATATCTCCATCAATTCCAATAT